TAAACCAATATAAATCATAAGTAAATATCACTTTTAAAAGTCAAAACTCATATAACACATTATAATGATAATTAAACCCAAGAGCAAAAACAATAATAATAATAATAATAATAACAATATTTCATTAGGACAAATCATTCCAACATATGAGATTTCATGGAAAAAGGGGGGTAAAATGTAAATTTTTAAAATATACTTTCAAAACTGACTAAAAGCACCCATTTTTCCTTTTTACCGAGAAGATTATTTCCACTATCTATATATATATATATATATATATAACCTCACATGCATAACTCAACACACCATGGAAATCAATTTTCTCAAAATAGTCCCACTGGAAGCATGCAAGTGTACTCACCAACCACTTTAGTCCAAATACATAACTCAAGCACCTCTCAAAATGCAGTCCAGCCGAGTGCATGCAACCAAAATATGCAGCCACCATCACAGTTTATTGAAACAACCAAATGCATGCAAAGTTCAATTAGCAAGCAAGTTCATTTCATTTTAAAACTCAAAACAGCCACTCTAGAATCTATCCGAAAACATGCAAAGAAAAATAAACCAAGCAAGCTTCACATTTAGCCAAACCTCATCAAAATACAAAAATGGCATACTAGAAATTAACTTGCAAGCATAGATCTGAAATTTTTAGACGAGCTCCAAATATCAGAACGACGGATGGTAGACGAGCTCCAGATCACGATTTGATGATGCACTGTTCACAGACTCAAAAACTAATATATCCTCTCCCTTTCCTTTGTTCTTCATTTTTCTTCTCTTCCTCTCTCACTCTAACTCTCGGCCGAACCCACTCTTTCTCTCTTCTTCTTTTTTTCCTCTCCTTTCTCCCTCTCTTTTCTTTCTTCTGCTCTGTTTTTCTTCTTCATTTGGGCGAACTGCCCGTTTTCTTCTTCTTTTAAACAAAACATTTTTCTGAAATATAATTCTGCCCCAATATTCCCTAAATTCAATAACCCCACCCTAAGTTTCCTAGCACAAAAATGTCCAAATTTTTCCCTCTTAATCTGAAAACCCATCAGGATTTATTTTTCGTCTTTACTCATTAACGCAACTTTAAAAAACTGATGAAAATACCCCTATCTTACCACAATGCCAAAAACAAATAAATAAATAAAAAGAATTAATAACCAAATTTAATCATGATCTAACTAAATCAGGAATGGGGTTTTACAAGCAAGTTCATTCTCTGTGGGTTCTGATTGTAAACAATCAAACTATGCGCATTTTTTAGAGCAGAATATATAATTCACGAATGCTATAAGGTACTAATCTGGAACTCTATTCTGATAGCGGGATCTGTGAATTTTCACATATATTAATCTTAATTCTTCCTTGTGTATGAATATGCATTTGCTAGATTTCGGAGGAGGCGTGTGCTGTCAGGAGAAAATACTTCTGAATCGGTCTCCTTTGATTTCTTTAAATGAAAGGGGATGAAGCAAATTGGTCCGATTATTATTATATTACCAGAAGTTGTTGCGAAATCAGTAGTCCACAAAGGTGGCAAAAGATTTTGTGTGAAGGGTTCATGGCTCCACTCTCAAGGTACAGCAAAAATTTTGTATTGAGAGAATTGGTGGTATTGACATAAAAGATAGTCATTTGTAATTGACTAATTGTGTACAACTGAGAAAGAAAGAACATATACAACGATTTATCATTGTAATTCAAACAGTTGTTGACGACCTGTCCCGAATTTCTCATCCTGTAGGATCTGGGTGCTGCCACAAGACTTGGATATCCGAGACGTGCCATGTAGAAAACGTGAAACCTGTGAAAATAATTATTTTTTCTGAATAACATCATAGTATTTCCATTTCCAACATCTCAAAAACATACACACATCTTGTTTTGCAAAAAAGATTAAGGGAAACTTGTGGTATCAGGTTTTCCAATTATATTAAACATTTCAAATATAAACAAAAGAAAATACATGATGGGAAACATGAGGTCTAAGTAAAAGTCCAAAATACAATACGACATAAAATATAAAACACACTTAAGAAATGTCGACATGTGGCACCCTTGAGCGGATAGTCACTGCTCGACACGATCTTCGGGAGGTCTGGTGAGGGGGGAAAAACATTTAAAATGGGGTGAGCTAAAATACTCAGTGACTGTGGGAAAGGGGAGGTTTGTAAAAGTTATTTAAAAAGAAAAATGATAACATACAATAATTCTTAAGCAAATCCTGAATACAATATAATTCTATGAATATGCAATGGAAGCAACCACCCATTCATGTATGCAATATGTGATTTATTTCTAATCCTTGAACTCAATAAAGTATACTTGACTTACTTCTTTTAACTGTATCTGATTCTGAATAAAAACCTCAACATTTGGTATTAGAAACTCTACCACAACTAGTACCATGAGGAAAAATGTCATACCTAGTGGGCATCCCACACGTAGGCGAGCGAGGGAAGTACCGTCATACCTGGCAAGATTATCATCGCACGGCAGAGCCTTGAAACTGTCATACTCAATGCCTGGCAGAACATTGATAACTGTTATATGCATGCACAGAGCCAAAAATTTGTATCACTGGGGGAGGGTATTCGTAGGGTGGCTTTAGAACTACAAAAAATCTCATCATATCTTAATTGGCATACCACTCATGAACATATCACATATTGGCTTATAATTCTGCATGTTGACATAATAATAAAAAATCACATCCAGGGGTGAAATTGCAGATTTTCAAACATGTTGCAGAACTAACAGTCAACTTAGATTAAAAATTACTTCAACATCACATTACCATAGCATATGTCCGACACCAATCAACAAGCAATTATCACTTGAAAAACCAAAAACTCAAATACATATTTAATTATAATTAAAACAAGGAGCTAAATAACTATAAATAGGACATCTCATGTTGAAATAAAATAAACATGACCCTCCAAGACTAATAGCCAATACCATCATTTTTCCATTATCAAAAACAGCACTTTTAAAAAATTCTCTTTCTCCACTCCTCAACTAATCTGAAACCAACACCAATCTCTACAGTATGGCTTCACTCCAATTAACAAAGGCATCAGATTTAATTTTTTTATTAGGAAGAGCCATCTATTGACATATATATATATATATATTGTTACCACTATTTAACCATTTCAAATTTTTGGGAGTTTATCAACATATTCAGAAGCCAAGGTTCCAATGTTAGTAATTAACAATTTAATCTTTATAAAACAAAGGAATTATAATAAATATATGAATATAATATATCATACCAAAGTGTGTAGGTCCGTCCCTTAGTTACTAGACAAAACATCACTTCTTATTAACATATCTGCACCTTTAACGCCTCTCCTTTTTCTACCCTTAACCGAGCCCACATGCATGATGCATAACCATAGTAAGTTTACCCAAATCAACAACCAACACTACCCAGCCAATACTCAAGCTGCCTTAATTTCCCAGCATTTCCAAACACAAATCAACCAACTTCCCACTGTATTTTAACCGAGTGTAAGCAAATGGGATATCCAACAAAACACTGAATTGAAAACACAACTAGATCATATTCTAATATGACCTACAGCAAGCATAACAATAAAAAAAAGAACCAACTCAAGCATTCTAATATCTTGTCCAGCCGAAATTAAATTTCTGTATACATAAATTTTCCAGCAACATCACCAATAGACAGAACAGTTGAAAGCGAAAAAGAATTAACATCCCACAATATCATGTTTAATATCAATCTCTTTGCTCAAACATGAAGAGCAAATCAAAACTTTAACATGCAAGGATCATTTACATGCAAGGACATCAGGCAACGTTTTTAAGGAAAATTGTTTTGGATCCACTCACAATTCTAGCTCAACCGAAAATCAAATCAAGTGTCAAGCACTCTTCTCTTCCGTACCTACACCCAAAAGCTCAAGATTAAACACTCACTCCTAAAGCAAAGGAGAATTGATTAAAGAAATTGTTTCTTAAGCCCAGTGTATGCGTTACCCGAACCCAAAAATTGGAGTGACCTGCTTCAAATTCTCTCCTTCTTTATTTTTCCCCCTTTCCTTCTTCTTCATTTGGGCTAACAGCCCAGTTTTTTTCTTCATACAAAACAATTTTCTGAAATTATAAAATTGCCCCCAAATTCTATTAATTCTTCTAACCCCGCCACATAACTTCTGCTTACAAAAGTGTCCAGATTTTTCCCTCTTAATCATGCAAACCCATCAGAATTTATTTCTTTTGTTTTCACCCCTTAATGCAAACTTTAAAAACTGACAGAAATACCCTTTCTTACAACAATACAGTAAAATCAAATAGAAAGAAAAGTAAATAAATAAATAAAATTCATGATATAACTAAATTAGAAATGGGGTTTTACAGTTGTTATTCACATAAAGAGAAAAAAAAAGTTTTGTTTCTTTCATTCATCACAAACTCTAGCTCATGTGGACATGGACTGGTGAATTTTTCCTATTGACAGTCTCCCACGGCAAGTTCTGTTACTCCTAATGGCTTCTGAATGTCGAAACAGAAACATTAGACATCACATTGTTGGGTGGGGTACTTGGATTGCTTGGTTGAGAATCAATAATACTTCTACAGTTATGTTTATGCATGACGGCTATAGCTCTTTTCCTGTGTTAAAACAATTAATTCTTCTTTGTTAAATCAGAAGTCTTCGTTTTTGTTATGTTTATATAATGAAGTCTTCGTTTTTGCACTATTCACTAGGTGCGTCTCCGATGGACAGCATCCTTGATGACTCTATTGGTCAGTTTCAATCCCAATTTGCGCATGAAATTTTATTCTAACCCCTGATTTAATTTTGTGGAACGAAAAAATTTCCCACTGTTAAATTGTGATAAGTGGGGTGGGCCGCCTTGAATAAAACTAAGGCATTTTATATCCACTCAAGTCACCATCACTGGCGTGTTCCCATTCCCAAAAATTGAATTTCCGCAGATTTTGACTCTGTGTTCTTTTAATTAGGTAGATGTCCTCAAACAGAAGCTAAAAGCCTAAGACCTGAGAATCAAAATGCCCTCCTGGAAATTCTTCATGTTCTTTCTTGTTCTATATCATGTTATCGGTTTAACAAGTGCAGCTGATCCGAACTATCTTTTCCATGATTGCCCAAACACAACAACTTTTAACAGAAATAGCACCTATCAATCTAACCTCAAATTTCTCCTCTCTTCACTTGTATCTAACGCCGCCCGCAGCAATGGATTCTCCACCGGTTTCTACAACGCCACCGCGGGCCAAGACCCTGACAAGGTCTACGCTCTCTTTCTTTGCCGACTTGTTTTCACTCCCACCGCCTGTCAAGAGTGTGTTAGTTTTGCTACCTCAGACATTCTTAAACGTTGTCCTGTTCAAAGAGAAAGTATAATTATGTACGACCCGTGCGTTTTACGCTACTCAGGCGAGTATATCTTTTCTACCATGGCCGCTAAGCCCGCTTTTATTTTGTACAACATTAATAATATTACGGAACCAGTCCGGTTTAACCAGCTAGTAAGGACTACAATGAAGGAATTAGCAGATGCGGCTGTTGGCTCCCCTAAAAAATTTTCAACAAGAAAGGTTAGCTTTACAACCATTCAAACAGTGTACTGTCTTGTACAGTGCACACCAGACCTGTCAGATTTTGACTGCAACAGTTGTCTTGAACAATCTTTTTCTAGTTTGCCGACTACCCACGCAGGAGCAAGAGTTTTGCTTCCAAGTTGTTGTAGCCACTTTGAATTGTACCGAAATAGAAAACCCACATAAAAAGACGTCGACGTGGCACAACCCTGAGCGAAGACTCACTGCTCGGCACGATCTCCGGAAGGTCCTGGTGAGGGGGAAAACATTTAAAAAGGGGTGAGCTGAAAACTCAGTGAGTGGGGAAAAGGGGAGGTTTAAAAAGTTCTTTAAAAAAAAGAAAATAATGATACATACAACAATTCTCAAGCAAATCCTGACGACAATATAATTTTATGAATATGCAATGAAAAACCGTCCCATTCATGTATGCAATATGTGATTTATCTTTAACCATCCTGCACTCAGTAAACTGTACTCGACTTACTTCCTTTAACTGTATCGGATTGTATAAAAACCTAACATTTGGTATTAAAAAATCTCACCACAACTAGCACCCGGGGAAAATCTGTCATACCTGGTAAGCGTCCCACACGCAGGTAGAGGAGGGACGTACCTGTATACCCGGCAAGGTCTATCATCGTGCGGGCAGAGCCTCAAAACTGTCATACCTAGCGGACCACTCAACGCTTGGCAGGCATTGATAACCGTCATACGCATGCGCAGAGCCAAAATCTGAAACTGTCATACCCGGCGGAATCCTGTATCACTGGGCAGAGCCAAAACTGTTCACTAGGGGATGGGTACTGTAGGGTGGGTTTAGCACCACAACAATCTCAGCATAATCCAAGTAACATGTAAGTCAAGAGCATATTTCGTATGTGCTTATAAATCAACATATATGACATAATATTCAAAATCACATATAGGGGTGAAATTGCAACTTTCTAAAATGTTTAAGAAACTGATGGTTTAACCCAGATTGAGAATTTTTCAACATCACATGATCTTAGTATATAACCAATATAAATCATAAGTAAATATCACTTTTAAAAGTCAAAACTCATATAACACATTATAATGATAATTAAACCCAAGAGCAAAAACAATATAATAATAATAATATAATAAAAATATTTCATATGGACAAATCATGCCAACATATGAGATTCATGGAAAAAGGGGGGTAAAATGTAAATTTTAAAATATACTTTCAAAACTGACTAGCACCCATTTTTCCTTTTTACGAGAAGATTATTTTCCACACATCAATATATATATATATATATATATATATATATATATATATATATAACCTCCCATGCATAACTCAACACACCATGGAATCAATTTTCTCAAAATAGTCCAACTGGAAGCATGCAAGTGTACTCAACCAACCAACTTTAGTCCAAATACATAACTCAAGCACCTCTCAAAATGCAGTCCAGCCGAGTGCATGGAACCAAAATATGCAGCCACCATCACAGTTTATTGAAAAAAAACCAAATGCATGCAAAGTTCAATTAGCAAGCAAGTTATTTCATTTTAAAACTCAAACAGCCACTCTAGAATCTATCCGAAAACATGCAAAGAAAAATAAACCAAGCAATCACATTTAGCTCAAACCTCATCAAATACAAAAATGGCATACTAGAAATTAACTTGCAAGCATAGATCTGAAATTTTTAGACGAGCTCCAAATATCAGAACGATCGGATGGTAGACGAGCCCAGATCACGATTGTGATGCATGTTCACAGACTCAAAAACTAATATATCCTTCCCTTTCTCTTGTTCTTCATTTTTCTTCTCTTCCTCTCTCACTCTAACTCTCGGCCGAACCCACTCTTTCTTCTCTTCTTCTTTTTTCTCCTTTCTCTCCTTCTTCTTTCTTTTCGCTCTCGTTTTCTTCTTTCATTTGGGCGAACTGCCCAGTTTTCTCTTCTTTTAAACAAAACATTTTTCTGAAATTATAACTGCCCCCAATATTCCCTAAATTTCAATAACCCCCACCTAAGCTTTTCCTAGCAAATGTCCAAATTTTTCCCTCTTAATCTGAAAACCCATCAGGATTTATTTCTTCGTCTTTACTCATTAACGCAACTTTAAAAACTGATAGAATACACCTATCTTACCACAATGCCAAAAATCAAATAATAAATAAAAAGAATTAATAACCAAATTTAATTCATGATCTAACTAAATCAGGAATGGGTTTTACAAGCAAGTTCATTCTCTGTGGGTTCTGATTGTAAACAATCAAACTATGCGCATTTTTTAGAGCAGAATTATATATTCACGAAGCTATAAGGTACTAATCTGGAACTCTATTCCTGATAGCGGGATCTGTGATTTTACCTATTATTAATCTTAATCTTCCTGTTATGAATATGCATTTGCTAGATTCGGAGGAGGCGTGTGCTGGCAGGAGAAATAAACTTTGAATCGGTCTCCTTTGATTCTTTAAATGAAAGGGGATGAAGCAAATTGGTCCGATTATTATTATTATACCAGAAGTTGTTGCGAAATCAGTAGCACAAAGGTGGCAAAAGATTTTGTGTGAAGGGTTCATGGCTCCACTCTCAAGGTACAGCAAAAATTTTGTATTGAGAGAATTGGTGTATGACATAAAAGAAAAAGTCATTTGTAATTGATAATTGTGTACAACTGAGAAAGAAAGAACATATACAACGATTTATTCATTGTAATTCAAACAGTTGTTTGATGACCTGTCCCGAATTTTCTCATCCTGTAGGATCTGGTGCTGCCACAAGACTTGGATATCGAGACGTGCATGTGAAAACTGTGAAACCTGTGAAAATACTATTTTTTCGATAACATCATAGATATTCCATTCCAAACATCAAAAACATACACCATCTTTGTTTTGCAAAAAAGATTAAGGGAAACTTGTGGGATCAGGTTTTCCACTATATTACACATTTCAAATATAAACAAAAGAAAATACATGATGGGAAAAATGAGTGTCTAAAGTAAAAGTCCAAAATACAATACGACATAAAATAAAACACACTTAAGAAAATGTCGACATGTGGCACAACCTTGAGCGGATAGTCCCTGCTCGACACGATCTTCGGGAGGTCCTGGTGAGGGGGGAAAAACATTTAAAAGGGGTGAGCTAAAATACTCAGTGACTGTGGGAAAGGGGAGGTTTGTAAAAGTTATTAAAAAGAAAAATGATAACATACAATAATTCTTAAGCAAATCCTGAATAAAATAATTCTATGAATATGCAATGGAAGCAACCACCCATTCATGTATGCAATATGTGATTTATTTCTAATCATCTGAACTCAAAAATATACTCGACTTACTTCTTTAACTGTATCTGATCTGAATAAAACCCAACATGGTATTAGAAACTCTCACACAACTAGTACCATGAGGAAAATATGTCATACCTAGTGGGCATCCCACACGTAGGCGAGCGAGGGAAGTACCTGTCATAACTGGCAAGATCTATCATCGCACGGCAGAGCCTCGAAACTGTCATACTCAATGCCTTGGCAGAACATTGATAACTGTTATATGCATGCACAGAGCAAAAATTTGTATCACTGGGGTGGGTACTTCGTAGGGTGGCTTTAGAACTACAAAAAATCTCATTCAATCTTAATTGGCATACCCTCATGAACATTCACATATTGGCTTATAAATTCTGCATGTTGACATAATAATTAAAAATCACATCCAGGGGTGAAATTGCAGATTTTCAAACATGTTGCAGAACTAACAGGTCAACTTAGATTAAAAATACTCAACATCACATACCATAGCATATGTCCGACACCAATCACAAGCAATTATCACTTGAAAAACCAAAAACTCAAATAAACATATAAATTATAATTAAAACAAGGAGCTAATAACTAATACATAAGGACATCTCATGTTGAAATAAATAAACATGACCCTCCAAGAATAATAGCCAATACCATATTTTCCATTATCAAAAACAGCACTTTTGAAAAATTCTCTTTCTACCTCCTCAACTAATCCGAAACCAACACCAATCTCTACAGTATGGCTTCACCCAATTAACAAAGGCATCAGATTTAATTTTTTATTAGGAAGAGCCATCTATTGAAATATATATATATATATATATATATTGTTACCACTATTTAACCATTTCAAATTTTTGGGAGTTATCAACATATTCAGAAGCCAAGGTTCCAATGTTAGTAATTAACAATTTATCTTATAAAACAAAGGAATTATAATAAATAATGAAGATAATGTTTGAGAGGTGAAGAATCACACGTTTATATATCGTTGACCAGCAGATGGAGTCTCAACCGTTGGATCAATCACAGATTGACGGTCAAGATTGCAAATAATAAAAGACCAAAACGATAGCACATAGTGTTAATCCACACGATAGCATTTAATGGCTTCACAATTAACAATCTCCACCTTGAAGCCAACAAACCCTTTTTGAGCAGTATTCAAATACTGCAGCAAACATCTCAAATATTCCTCCTCAACTCCAATTGATTATCGTATATGTAACAAGCTGTGCTTGAACTTGGCAGCAGTCACAATCTTTATTCCCATATCAGTTGGATTGTCCTTGGTTGCACCTTTTTCAGATCCAACCGTCCTCTTAAAATGAGACCTCTAAGAAATGGTACCTTACATCTACATGCTTAGTTCTCTCATGGTACACTGGATTCTTACTTAGGTGGATGGCACTTTGACTGTCAAAATATACGGTCACAAACCCATCCATTAGTTTGGCTTCTTTCAGGATCCCTTGAAGCCATATTTCTTTTTTGAATGCATCAGTTACAGCCACGTATGCAGCCTCTGTTGTGGATAATGCAACCAAAGGTTGTAATTGAGACTTCCAGCTCACATAGTTTCTTCCAAGAGTGAAACAGTATGTTGTAGTCAACTACCTTGTGTCTCTATCACCTGCAAAATCAGAATCTACATACCCAACTAGATCAAGTGTAGCATTCTTTTTATAGTAAAACAACCCCATATGTACAATACTATTAATGTATCTTAACAGCCATTTTAGTTTAACCCAATGCTCAATTCCAGGATTTGACATATATGTACTTAGCAAAGATATTGCAAATGAAATATCAGGCCTAGTACTTATCATAGCAGGAAACAAAGGAGTTTGACTTTGATCAA